TATTATTATTTTAAAGAACCTAGAGCTTAGTAATTAATTAATAGTATAAATAAAAGGTATTACCCTTATTTACTTTTGCCTCCCTAGCTAGCTTATAAAACTTTTAGCTTTACTAGAGAGAAGATCTAATAAAGTAAATAGTATTATAAAGCTTACTAATTACTCTTTTTTTTCTCTAGAGCTAAAGCTTTCTCTTATACTCTCTAGCTAAGCTATATATACTAGCCTCTATATTAAAGACCTTATAGTCTTTACTATAGATAAAGGTATAAGTAATAAGATTTAAGATATAGCTAAAGTAATAGAGGTACTACTTCTTATAGTCTTACTTATCTATTAATAGATTAATAAGAAGATATAGATACTATATATAGGTATTATTACTAGATATATTATTATAAATAACTAAACCTAGCTTTCTAGTAATACCTTAGTTATTAAGGACCTTATAGATAGTAGTAGTAAGATTCTTACTATTATAGGCACTAATCTACTCCCTTAGAGCAAGAAGATACTTTTAATAGTGCCTTAAGGGGTTAAAGAAGTATAAAGTAATTATAATAATAGCCTTATTATTAAGTAAAGTCTAGAGGTTAAAGTAAATATAAACCTTAGAAATAGCTTAGTTTAGCTACTATTAAATAGTTCTTTTACCTTATTAATATAAGCGTAGAATATATTACTTTATTTAGTTTTTTCTTTATAATACCTAAGAGAATAATACTATATTATATTACTAAAGTAAGTTCTTTAAGTAAAGGTCCTTAAAGATATTAATAAGGATATTTTAGGATATAATAAAGGTAGTAGTAAGGTTCTAAATAGCCTTAACCTTTATAGTAAGGACTATACTATAGAAGACTCTTAGTTACTTATACTAGAGGGTAATAAAGTTATTATTATTATTATTATTAATAGTAATAAATACTTCCTTTATAATCCTATATAACTTTATAAAATACTTTATAGTAAATATTATTAAGATAATAAAGAATATCTCTATATAACCTTTCTAGTTATAAGCTTTATAACACTAAAAGAATAACCTAGTATATAGGTTATAACTATAACTATAAATCTTAATAAAGAAAACACTATAGTTTTTAATCTATAATAACCTTTCTTTACCTTTCTTCTTTACTAGCTAATACTTAAGAATAAAGATCCTATTATACTAATATATAATAAGAAGATCCTTAAGGGTAAAGTAAAATAGTAAGGTAACTAAGAATATATTCTTTACTTAGGTATATATAGTATCTTAGGATTATAAGAGGGCAAAGGCATTAGTTATTAATAAAGTAGTTATTATAAATAGCTTTAGGAAGAAAAATAAAGAGGAATAGAGAAAAAGAAAAAATAAGGGATAAAGGGGAGTAAGTATAAGAGGTTATAACTTAAGGCAGGGTATCTACTATATATCTATATAAACACTAAGAATAGTATTATAGGTAAGGATATAGTGTAGATATTTAGCTTTAGAAAAAATATATAGCAGAGGAATATATAGATAATCTGACTCCACATAAATCAATTAACTAACCTAACTTTGGCCTTGAAGTTAGTTGGTTGATGTGAAGCTATTCGCAAAGTTGACTAGTTGGTTGATGAAGTTGGTTGGTGGGGTTGCTTTGAGTGAAGCGCTGCGCATGTTTTCCCTGGCCTGCAGGCGCATGCTCTCTCCACCAAGCCACATTCATCTCATCGCATCTCCATCAGCCGCCGCCCATCGTCATCATCATCCTCACCGACGCCGTCATGCCCGTCGACAAGATTCGCTGCAATTCCCACTGCTCCCATAACACTGACGGCTTCAGCGTCGTTTGCGTTGCCGTCCGTATCCCCGTCCTTGACCACTCCCATGCCGAGCCAGGCTCCCTTTCGCTATACCGCCCGTTCACCTCACCCATCAAAGACGACGACGACAACGACGACAACCATAGCAAGACCGACCACGACAGCAATGTCTAACATACGCAATGCTTCGAGCTATGCTTTCATGCTGGATTCACCCCCCGACCCTGACTACCCCGTTTCCCTGCATATGCAGCTTAGCAGTTGTATCGAGTATTACGACCCTGCCCTCGTCCTGCGAACCCAGAGTCCGCCCTGCTACATCCACAAGCTTCCAGACCTCATCGATCTAACCGATATCACGGGGCAACTCCTGTCGCCTACCCCGAAGCCTCGCATGCCATCAGCACGTCTCGTCTTGTTGTCTGGATGCTGCTGGCTACACTCTACACTATTATAGTGCTCAGCAGTGGCATCGTCCTTGGCCGTCATCTCCATCCATCTACTACACCCGTCTTCCAATGCGCGCCTCCTCACAACTCGCACTCTCTCGCTCTACAAGGACCTCTTATTAGTCGAGAGACTCCACCTGGTTGCTAATGCTGACGTTGCTGAGGTTATAGATACCGACTTTGACCTCGGTTTAGACTGCGAACTAGCCAGAACCATCAGTTGTATATGCCGTGACGTCTCTCTTGACGACGACCCCGCTGTCCCTTTGTCCACCCCGCTCTATACTCACGTCAAGCTCACCTGCCAGCACATTCTTGATCGCCTTATGAGGCTACATAGGCCGCTTCTACGCTCTGACGGCAGCAGGCCAAGCCATGGACATGAAGCTGACTGGCACTTTGCGTGCGACCCATCCTTCTTTAAACCTCTCGGCCTCGTCAACTTCCCGTCCAGCTGCTACTATTTATAACTACTTCAAGTTGTGGGGTAAGAAGCAGTCTGCCCGCCGCTTTGCTGCTTTGGATAGCCCGAGTGTCGAAATCATTTGGAGACAAGGTCATAGACCTGGCCCACTGCAAGGGCTGAAGGAGAACAACAGGGACGTGAAGAGGACAGTGGGAAGGCGTCGCAATATGACAAGGTTTGATCTATGTCAAGCATACATGCATGGGGGTCAGGATGTACAGGCAAAGCAAATATAGATTGTGGGGAGGCGATATCTATCAATAAGATAGACTTGGAGTTGCCTTGAACTGCAGATATCATGGCTATTCCTGCGGGCAAAATGCCTCGTGACATGTCAAGTGACTCTCCCAATCCTTCATTATTGTATTTACTGCTCAACCGCCCACAATGCCTTCCAGCAAATCTTTTACCTACGCCAACCACATGTGTATCCTGTACGGCAGCAGTTTCTGAGGGCGCTGGGAATAATTCCAGCGCCTTCAAAGGCCACGCAGAATAGCAGCAGTCTCTCACTACCCATGAGTGTGTTTGTCAACACTCCGTGCTAGAGGCAACACTCAGCTGTCGTTGAATTTAAGTTTGCAGATCTAATGCACAAGCTACCTAGTTTAAGCAGGTACGGATACCTATGGAGAAATGAAGGTGGTGGGCCAGTTACAGGTAGGTGGGTAGTCACCTGCCTAGGGGTTTCTGTCCCAGCTCCCAAGTGAGTGTGGCGGCGTCATGCCCCACTTTGGATCCCCCGCCAACATGGACCGACCGACCCGACCCCGTTCCTTGAGCTTCATCTGCCCCCTCCTGGCCTGTCACAACAACTCGCATCAAGGCTTCATGTCATCCAGGGTTCACCAAGTAAGTATAACCTACTTCCGTCCTAGTGTTAGAAGAAGTAATACCCTTGCGCTAACTGACGTATCTTGGCAACCGCAGTTGAACCTTCCCATCTTCAGCAGCAAGAACAATCATCACCTGGCCACTTGTCAGAAGCGGTGCGGCTGCAGGGGCGGATCCGCCACACAGGGAAAACACTTGTACTAAAAGTGTACGGGAAATCAATTACCTGCCGCCCAGTTGACGCGCTTCTCTGACTTCTTTTCCTTTTCAAGTCGACACCACGACGCGTCTCATCTGCCCGGATTGTAACGCCAGTCGCGTCTGCGCCGATCGAACCCCCCCGACCGACATAGTCAGCCGCGTCATCGCCAGCTTTGGGTTACGGCAGTCGTCCAATCCGCCCCGTAGCCCATCACTCTTCTTTGGTCCTCTCTCAACCTCCCAGTCTTTTGATGCCCTGCTAACCATTGTGTTTGTACATGATTCGCACGCTGCTGGCCTTCTGCGCTGCACACCCGCATGCACATTATTCAATCGACCCCCCCGACAACCTGGCACTTTTGATTCTCGACATGCGTCTGAATGTCTATTTGTTGATGATTAACACAGCCCCGGTTGCGCCGTCACTGCAACCGACGCGTCATGTTCGCACAAATAGGTTCAACTGTTTGTGAACGCGCAAATGATTTGCTTCAGTTTCAGAGGCGGCTGTCCGAGCTTCCCGGGTTCCCCGACACGTCGTCCACACATGAATATCTGTCAAAGAAACACAACGCTGGCCAAGATGATTATTTGCCCGAGTTAGATAATGACAGGCTGATCCTAACCGTCTGCAATAATCTACGTGATGCTTGCCGGGGAAACCAATCCTAAACATAAACAGTCACGTCGGGCTCTGCCCACCCACAGCTGGGACGCGAGGACCAAGCTCCAACCCCCTGACCTCCATATTCTGCGCCTCGTAATGCCTCTGCGAACTTGCCAGCCGTCCCATCAAGCACTTTAGCTGCTCTCTAGCCGCCTCGACTCTCTTGCATGTCCGTCCCGCCTCCAGAATAACCTTTTCCTCACGCTTGCTGGTGTTATTGCCGCGTACTCCGAGAGACCCTTTGTCTAAACTCCTCCTCTCCATGTAGCTGTCCGCCATGTCAGAGATGGATGAAAGAACCCCAACCGTAGCGCTGACTAGATCCGTGCCGATGTCTTCCCCTGTTTCAGGATCGTGATGGCTTGTGTCACCCAGATGCGAGAGTCTCGAGACGTCAGGCCTAGATAGTGAAGCGTCTGCGCCGATGTCAAGGGAATTGCTTCTTGATGTCACAGGACTCTTGGGGCCAATGGCGTTTGATTCTGCGGTACCGACAAACTCTTCCTAGGGGGGCTCTCAGGCTTGGCGGACTTGTTGGGATCGAGAGCACCGATAGCCTCGTAAGTATTGACAGGCTGAACAGAACTTACAGGTTCGGGAGGGGGACCTTGAGGCTCGGGGAGGATAGTGTCTTGATTGACAGAAACCTCACGGGACCTAGACGCTCTTGCAAGCATAAAGGGGCAATGTCAGTTCCAAAGTAGCTTGCGCAGAAACGAGCTTGGGGGCGACAGTAGAAAGTTCTAGCAGCGCGCGAAAAAGGGTCTCACCTTGGGTGGCTTGGTCAAAGGCGACAGCGGAAAGGATATGGCGGGGATCGTCGAGTTTCCACCTCCGAGCGGCCTTATGGAGCGCGCCTGCAGCGGTTTTAGAGCGGTGTGGAGAAGAACCGTTTTGCGAGAGGAGTGGCATAAGGTGCAGTGTGATATCGAGAGAAAGCGCCCTTCCAGCGTCGCAAACGGTGTAGAACTCGCCAGCGAGATGCAATTCGTACTCGCTTAGGGGTGGAATAATGCCGTTCTTGGTCGCGATCGCCTTCTCAAGCGACATGCAAAGCCTATTGACAAGGTCTTCGAGAGACCGGGGATAGGGGCGACACTACGCGGCATGTCTGGTTAGTTGACGCTGTATTGTTTGGCTAGTAATTGGGTGAATGTTGGAGTTCTGATTCACAAGAAGAGGGAAAGCAATGATGGTGGTGAAGGTTGGCGACGTTTGCAGAGTGATGAAGCGGTGGCAGATCCCCGGGGCCGGGGTGGGGTGTGGGTGCGTGCGGGTGCAGAGGAAGAGAGAAGCTCGCACCTTTTCGCGAGGTTGATTTGCTCGTACTTTTGAGAAAGTGGCTCGTAGCTTTTTCACTAGCAAGCTCCTGATGTGCTTGAAGCGTTTGTAGACAACGCCCTCTGGTGATTCATAGCTCTTGCGATGCCAGCCAGCTTGCGCCAGGCCACTTGCACCGTGGCCTTGCCTGGTTCGCCTTGGTGCAACGATCCGGGCGCTTGGGCTCGCACGAAGCATTCGCAATAAGCCGACCGATTGGAGCGGCGGTCAACGGGTCAGAAACGCAATTTACAATCCGCCTACATGGAAGGTACACGATGAATCAAGACAAGTTCAGCACACAAGAGAGAGGCTGTCACTAGAATAGGCGCCGTCGCCACTAGCTTGAAACGCTGTATGGTGTTTTGTTTTGTCTTGTCTTGTTCTCATATTTGCCCATCTTTTCTCATTCTCCTGTGCTGTCCGCTGATCATCTCATTTTCCTATCCGCTTGTCATTCCAGTCCAGTCCAGAGCCTACAAGGCGACCAGCCTCGGGATCCTCCTTCTGCCAAAAGCACTCTTGGGACTGCGCCAGGAGCAGGTATGAGAGCGACTCGAGGGTATCGGCGTCCACGTCCTCGGGAGGGTCAGACATGCGCAGCTCAGGCAATATCTCCTTCCGTATGTGGTCTAGCACCCCGGCCGCCAAGGCGATGTATCCAGCGGCGGTTTTAAGCCCTTCTTTACCTCTTGACAGCGCAACAGCAAGCTTGGAGTACAGGGAGGCGAGGTTGTAGAGGATGTTCATGAGTTCGTACTTGAGGTTGTTCCGCACCATCCGTCGTTCGGTGTTGTAGCCTAGGGCCGAGTACCACGTGAATTCGGCGCCCATCTAACAGCACATCCTTGTCAACATCCTAGCGGGGAGAAAAAGAAAACACCCGTAGTGCTGCGAGTGTGCCAGTGAGACGTACGTCAATTGGGAATTTGCCGCCGATCCACACCAGCTGCCCCGTGTACGCCTGGAGCGTCTTAATGCCCCTAGGACGGGGTACGGGCTGACCGCACTCCGTCGTAGGGGCTACGCCGAAGGCTGAAAGGGTGGTAACAGGACGTTAGACGTGGTTGTTATCTTTAACGGAGAAGCCTCGCCTGCGTCGTATTGTTGAAATCGACAGATGCTGGAAATTCGGCATCTTAACGCCCAGAGCGACAGGTGGGTGGATTTGCGAAAGGGTAGCAACAGGAAGGTGGATATGGTTGTCATCTCGAACGAAGACGCCTCGCAGTGCTGTAAATGCGGCGTTGGAGGAGCTTGAAGCTACGGCAGGAGCCTTATGCCGAGTACTGTGGAGGGACAAGGCAACGAAGCAAGGGTAACATCTGCGCACATTACAGTCAGCTAAGATGAAGAAAAGATGAAGCTCTTGGGCCGAGATGATGCTGACCGTCTGAGGAGCAAGGATATTGGCGGGGTTGTCAACGTGATGGTGTTGTTGGTAAAGAAAGGTCTGCAAAATGGCTGGCCAAGGTGAATGAAGAGGCTAGCTAGGCTAACTGTGCAGTTGCTGCAGACGGAGACGGTGACGTAGGTGACATGTCACGGCAGACACGTAGGTGACCTGCCGGCACAATGCTGACTTGCCCACTTAAGTATGGCTGACTTCAGGCAGGCAGTGTGAAGCCCTGCTGGGGCCACCGTCCTTGCTGACAGCTCTTTCCTCTTCTCTTCAGTATCAACTTTCTTGTCTCCATCACGGCAACCTTCCCACCCTCTCTCCTACTTCTCGCTGCGAAGGAGCAGTCATGGACGCCTTGGAGGTCGGCCACTGCCCAAGAGCCACTGCTGTGAAACCCTCATCCTCCTGCTGTGGCCTTCCCTTTCCCCCCAGTCCTCGCTTTCTTTTTTCCCCGGCCAAAATACGACAACAAGATTACCCGCCATTTCCTTCCTTCCTTCCTGCCTTCATGCTCGTTGTTGCGCCCAGTCAACTTCTTCCTCTCAGCATCAACAATAACGACAACAATGTCATTAATGATACCACCACGCACAAACAACTATATCTACTGTAGCGTCATCCTCTCGCTTGCCCCTCTACCCTCATCAGACACCCAAGCTACGCCATGTCTGTGAAAGGCATCCTCCAGCAACTCGACTAGCATTATCCAATCCGCTAGGATCGCATGTGACCTCTGGGACAAGCTCAACAATGAGTTTAAGCTAGATCCCGACCATATTGGAAGCTATTTTGCTCTCTGAGCAGTCATCAACATTAAGCGCGACGTCCTGATCTTCGTCACTAATCGCTCTCTGTGGGAAGAAGTGGGCAGCATCCAGGGCGATGTTGCCCGTCGCTGGGGCACTGTCGTAAAGCGACAGAATGCCTCCATCAGCATCATCGCTCTGCTCTTTGGGAAAGACATCGTCTCCTCCCGAGCCTGCGCCACTGCTGTCTCTCAGCTTCCCAAGCTGCAGGGCGATATGGATCTGGTCACTCTCTACCGACTCTTCCTTAATCAGCCTACTTAAATCAATCGCTACGAGCAAAACGATGTTACGCGCCTTCGAAAGGCGGTTAAGTTCTGTAAGTCCCGTGTCTTTATTGCACCTGCTTACCCCTCCCTGATTCTAACCACAACTCTCTCCCAATAGGTAGCCCTGGCTGCTGGCCTACGGCGTCCAGTCGTGCGTTAAAGATGGGCAGTGCCGTCTCCTCGGTCTACTCATTCTCCCAGGTCCTCAAGTCCGACGAACCCTCCTCCATTGACAAGCCCGAGCCCAAGAATGATGAGCCAACCGAGTTGAACACGGAATACGCTGCGATCAAGGCTTCCGCTGCCGCCGTCACGCCTAACGCGCCCCACAACAACTCCCCTGAGCCCATTGAGCCTACCAAGTCCCCCGAGGTTGCCCGCAAGCCTCTCCATCGCTGCCTCGTTTCTCCGAAACCCGCTTCACTCGGTCCTAGAGACCTCAAAACGCCTAGAGATACCAAACAGGTGGACTCCCCTAACAGTCCTCTGCTCTGAGACAAAGACAACAATGACTTGGAAAATTACAACGACTGTCGGGAGAATGTCGACGAGGACGATTACTCAGATGCCGGTCTTGGTGGCGGTCTAGGTTATTCCGACGAAGAGGAAGATGGCGCAGATGCCATCCAAGTGATGCTGCCAATTCCTTCGGGTAACGGCGAGGACGTCTCAACCATCACAGAAGAGGAGCTGTCTTCTACACGTCATTCATTTCTTGCCATAACACCTTTACCTTCCGCGCCCCTGCTGAGTTTTGACTGTAGCTATGGGGACTTGTCTACGCCTAATAACACCCCGCTCAAACAGGTCAACTTGGCTCCTCGATGGGGACAGAAACGGGCCTCGGACCTGGTAGAGGAACTGTCGCCCCCAAATAAGGCCAAGAAGGCCAAAGTGACATCGAGCTTGGATCCACCCTTGCGAAAACCATTGCAGTCTATCGTGACCCCGCCGCCTGACCCCCCGCCGACTGCCCTGGTGCCGGCGTCTGCTCCCTCAGACGAACACAAGGGTGATGGGCCAGCCAAGGCCCCCTGCTGTTACAATCTCGAGTGTGTGGTTCTCTATTCCAATGTGTTAATTATGAATGATACTTACAGCGATGGGCCTAAACTTTACTGTAGCTATTTGTATTTGTGGTTCTAAACACGCCGAGGGTTTGTTTGTGAAGACCTATGTCATCGGTATTATATACGGTTTATGATAAAGGTTACTGCCTAGTTGAGTCAGCTACTATGATAGGATATGTATACAGACCGCACCGATGGGACAGATGATGGATACTTAAATAGCACAATCACAACCATGATGCTAATTCGCGCGTGCCGATCATTGTGATAAAATGCATCATGTTACAGCTTGGTGCTTGACTCTTCCATGGACATGAAGCGTTGCGGCACCGGTACTCGAAGAACGTCCACTAGGAGGGTGCCGCCTAGATCCCCAAGGGTTTCAACAACATCAGCCGCCAGTAAGCATCCAAGGCTTATTATCCCTGCAGTAACATTACATAGTCTATGTATTATTAGAAGAAATACAATCCTTACGAACTTTTGCGATAATTAGTGTACAGCCCTATTGCGACGGCTGCCTCCCTTGCTAACTTCGTAGCCGTTAGTGATCAAGCTGTTGATGAGCCAAGAGAGAAGCCAGCCCATTTCCTTGTTGGCCTTGATACTGGGAAAAGAAGCAGACCAGGGATTTTCTGCCGGCCTATCCCTTATCTCCCTTTTGTGAGGTAGGTGGCGGAGGCGAAGGCTTAGTACTCTCCACACGTAGGTTAATGCCTATGGTGCAGAAAGAATGATGGTTGTCTGGGTACAAGGAGTCGTCATCAAGGTCGAGCGGTGCTTTGCTGAGTGCATCGAGTCGCAGCTCAGCCCGGGCGGGCTGTAGCCCATTCCAAGAGGAACGCTATTGTAGCCGACCGAGACTCAACATCGTTGACGTAAGGGTTAGGAGCAGGAGTCGACTGCGCAGGAAAATTGTGCTGAAACCCTAGCAAGCACGTAAAGTGCCAATGTCTAACCGGCGATGACAGTAGGTAAAAATACTGCGTAAGGGGGTCGGGGTGCTGGGATTTCGAGCTGTTGGAGGCAGATCGGGACCCGTCGCAGACGGCATGCATTGACAAAGGGGTCGCGGGCCTCGTCACAGAGAGCGGGTCGAACGGTGGACACGATGACCGTAGGGGCGTTATTGGAAGAGACGATGTAATGGCATCAGCCAGCGGTCGGGCGAGAGAGAAGAAAGAGCAAAATGAAGTGAAGGGGGTCCAGGACGTGGGCGATGGGTCGCAGAAGAGAGAAAGTCGGAATTAAAGCGCAGCTTCAACGATGGACCCAGGTTCGTGGCTGTGGCGCAGGGCGTCTCGTCGTCGTCGTCGCCTTTTGGGGTCAAGTCGGATCCGGCACGGACGGACCGGGTAAAAGGTTCTCTGGGCACCCGGACCGGCATCTTCCGGCAAATGATTGGAAAAACAAAACAGAAACACCAACAGCACCATCATTTCATCCTTGTATTACATTGAGTGCCTGTACGCTGTTAGGCTCTGGCCATGTTGGCTGCTCATTTCAGTAGCTTGGACAGCTTGTATTGCTTGTCTGGTCTGCTGCTGTCTTGTAACGAAGATGACATGGCATTGGAAGGGCTGATCTTGGCGAAGTTGGCTGGTATGCCCAACGTGTGACACGCCACAACATCCGTCAGCAATCACCATCATGTCTCATCATCATGTCTTCTTCTTGTGCCTGCCCCCCTTTTGTGTGTTCAAGAGACGGCTGTTTGGAAGATGGAGGGAGGGTTAGCTCGCGACGTGGTGATCTCGACTGTCTTGTTGGCAGCATCACCGCAGTTGTTATGGCTCTCTCGTCCCCCTCGATATCGTCTGCTCCATCATGCTCTTGTTAGCCGACAGGGTGTTTGTAGGCACTGTTTAGGTCAGGCGGCGCGGTAACGCAAGGTCACACAATTCAAGCATAGGATCAGATAATGCTGCCAGTAATTATCCACGTATTGTTGCTTCCAGAAAAGCCCGATGAAAATCCAAATGAGATACGAATCCAATCCCGTCATCAACATTGCTCAAGTACGTCGCGTGACCCCCAGTCTTACGTCTGCTTGACAGCCACCATTCTAAGCCGGTGCCATGGGAGGTTGCGCAAAGCGGAGGGTCGATGAGCACAAACAGACCAGCCTTCCTTGTCGTCTAGATTGACCTTGGAGGGAGACCGCCCGAGGGCTGCTTTTTCTTTCTGCCGAGTGGGCGCGTCTGGAGTAGGCGTGCCAGGCACGCCTACGTTGGTCTTGGAAGGCTGCTTGAGAATTGACCTTGGGTGAGTTGGGGTGGGAGAGGAGGAGTTTCGTCGCCAGCCAACGTGGCTTCAGCGTTTGGCTAGAGATGAAGAAAGATGCGAGTCAGTCGGGTTGCTGTTGTGTGTGAGATGTGAAGTGTGGTCAAACAGGCTTCTTACCTTGAGCGTGCTGGTTGGCCGTGCTGGCAGACACTCCCCCTCTCCCTATGGCTGTAGCTCTTGGCCATCGCCAAAGCCCGCCATTGCTGAGGCCGTGGTGGGCCTCTTGTCGTTGAGAGAGCCGGACGTTGATGAGTGACTTGTTTGCACGAGGGGGACCGGGAGTCGAAGTTCCGGACGATAGAGATAATGGAAATAGTAAAGGTGATTCATGATTAATGCAGAAGTGAAGGCGTAAGGATGATGATGGATGTTGGATGGATTTGGAAAGAGAGAAGACACCAAGTGTTAAATGTTGATGGTTGGATGCTGGACGTAGTGTAGGTGAGGGCAGCTGGTCGTCGCCGCTGGTGCTTCTTTCCAGTCATCCCGCTTCTTCTTTCCTCCGCCCTTTTCGTCATCTTCATCATCATCGTTATTGTGTGAGAAGAAGGCGCGAGGCTTCGGCTTTGCCGTCGACTTCTACACGATTCCGGCATTGGCAGAGGTGAGGCTTCTGCTCCAGCCTTTGCAACCATGTCCAGCGTCAACGAACCTGAAGGCGTCCTTGCTGACTTGTGTGCGATGGTCCCGCGAACCTGCCACACTAGTGAATGACAGGCTACTGTAAGCACACGCCCCGTCGGGACGTCAGCACCTCCCTCTTTCAATGTCATGAGCGGGTTCTCTGCCTCTGCTCGAACGGCTCCTCGACGGCTTCGGGGGCGATGGTGGCGGTATCAGCCATGGCGACGTGGTAATTTGGGGGGAATAGACAGCAGTGCAGGCCGACCTGGAATCTTGGTTGTTGTGTGTGTTTTTGCAAGACGAGGTTGGGGGATTGAGCGTGTGGTGATGGAATAAGAAACCACGCGCAAGTTACTTGTACTTTTCAGCGGGTCAGATGCTTGTAGGTACCTGTCCTAGGTACCTAGGTTAGTGACTACTGCAACTACTGCAACTACTGCAACTACTGCAACAGCTGCAACAGCTGCAACAGCTGCAACCGCTGCAACTGGTGCAACCCTGTACAGAGGAGGCACGTACTGCAGACAGAGGCGCATATGTCCAGGTACGTATTGGTCCCCTTCTCCGTAAGTACATTGGTGCAGCCACACTACCTAAGGCACCGTGCTGGCAATCTGCCACCTCCCCAGCCACAGAGCACCAACTACAGATACTTCGTGATGGCTCGCGAATCCAGGAATCCAGAAACATCCGACAGTGGCCCCACCCACCGCCACATGGGGCTCAGGGAGCAACTCTGTGGCTCAGGGAGCAGGATTTTCTGCTCCCTGAGCGTCTGCGCCACCCACCTGCCACCACGCTCCTAAATTTCCAGACGAGTACACTGACCCGCTTGGTATGTCACTGAATATCAAATTACCACAGTCACAACTTGCTGTTCGCTAGCCTGAGACCTCTCAGAGGGAAGCCTGACTTTTTCCGCAACATTTGTCCCAGTAAAGAACAAACCGTTCTTGTGTGTAGGGACCTTCGGTCTCGATGGACCTTGGGAGACATGCGCTCCGATGACCGAATGGCGGCGCGCCGAGGCCCATAATGCTGCTACCACTATCATCCCCATTTATTAGGTTCTTCCTGCTCTGGGACTTTCTGCACTCGCATAGTTACACATCTTGCCGACGGTTTCTCTTGCTTGTTAACACCACTTTCTCAATAGTACCGTCCGTCATCCATCACGCTGGCCATGTCCATGTCCGATAATGATGTCATGGTCTTTATCCCCAAGTCGGACCTCAAAGTTCTGGTCTGACTGAGTGCTTTGGCCACCCTTGGTCATCGACAACGGAAAGGATCCAAGTCTTGCAGTCAGCACCCCCAATGCTGGGTTCGCACGCCAGACGCCAACCTTCAATCAAACGTCTGGATACGCCTTCCATTTGGAAGAAACGCACATGATCGACGCCTTGTCAGGCTAACTACCCGCGGTTTGACTTGCTCATCACATCACACATCTCTCACCTCGCACATCTCGTTCATCCATCGCGACGACCATCACAAGCAAGCCCGGATGAGGGATGCCCAAGGAGCACGTCGACGCAGATGCTCTTCCTCCTTACCTCAATGACCCTATCACCTCTACTCAGGCCGACCTTTACATACAACAGAAGACCCAGCGCATCGAGACCTGCACTATCCAACCCAAGAACTTCAGCAATACCCGTGGCCAGTAGCTCATCCGTCGCATTGATAAGCTGGTTACCCTCTACGTACAATAAACTCATGTCCGACAACAACACTTTCTTCACCATCTTACCAGAATGTATGTATGAGTTGCGTCTGTAAGGTTGACAGTCACTCCATTATTTGATGTTCTCGGCCTATTGGCCCGACTGTCTCCCCCCTTAGGCATTAGCGCACCGCAAGCATGATTCATGTATTGGGCTTCGGCTGAGCCCTGGACCCTTATCTGCTTTCGGAACTGTTAGCAGCTTCAGCAAGATGGTCCTACCTGATGTCGCTTGGCGTGGCCGGAGCCCGGAGGAAGTCCCATATTGGTTCTATGAGCTAAAACGCCTATAGTCTGCTGGCACACTTAGATCCTTAGCACCTATCTTCAAAAAGAACCCACTAAGTTGGCGTATTTGGATGACTGGATCGTGAGCTTAGGAGGGCCGGCGGTCAGTAGGGGGGGGGGGGGCATTTAAGAGGGACAGCTCTTCGCCAGCCTATGTCTGCATCGCTCCAGTCCTGCCATCTCATAAGCTCTGCTTAACAATTGGAGAGTGTGTCTGTCGGCTCTTTCTGGATGTATATTTATAAATGAAAGACAAGTGGTCGCAGATGGAACAAAAGGCAGTCTCTTATGTGACAATTGTGCATATTGACAATGAGCTGTGACCAAAGCGTTCAGAGCTGGAATAGAGCGGATATGAAGAGTAATTCGAGCGGCAACCAGAGGACGCGGGTAACAGTTTGCATCAATCTCCACATGGAGGCGGCGACTTGGCAGACGTCACAATAAGCGGAGCGTGCCATTTCGACTGTTATCATCTTTCAGCTCCGAGCCGTGTTGAGCTTGGCGGCGCTGGGCGGCAGCAAAGACAACGGACTGCACCTGGTAGTGCACACTACAAGACTGTGATGATGGAGACGGCTTCTGGGGCTATATAATGACTATGAGATCACTTCCAGTCACATACGACCATACCCACTGGAGAACTCGGGATCCCGTCCGCTCTCCCATAGATAAGCCAGTGAGGGCCGGACTAGTAGTTGGGTCGGTGACGACCAGCGAATACCTGGTGTTGTATGTCTTTTTATGTCACTATCGTTCCTTTTTGGTGGAAATCGTCTTGGTTGGCAGTGGTGGGTGACAATGACCCAAACAGTCTCGGGCAGCGCGCTGGCATACATATATTTAGATACGCTCACATTATTTGTCATGGCTTACGGTTAGTCTGTTTCCCTATCTGGCCAGTATGTTTGTGGCGATTAGTTGTATTGTCTTAGTTACATGACTCGCATTATGCTATTCACTAGGTACTCTAGATCACGATAGCGTCATTGGTCCTCACAAAACTGCCATCTTGTCTTACGACACTATTCTCGTCATTACCAACAACCAGCTGCAGAATGGTGGGGTTTCCTTGCTGAGGGGACCTAATCCTTGGCCTTGAAGTTGTTGAGCTGGTCCTTGCACATAGTATTTCTCTTTGGTGCCAGTCTTCATCACAGACTCAGGCGGCATTTCTTTGTGTTAGTGTGCGGTTTGGTGCGTTAACGGGAGATTGCGCAATCTCTCATAAACATTGGGGAACGATCTGATGGCGTTGTTGGAGATATTTATGTTCTCTTGATTATTTTCCTTGTTGCTGGCATATCTGGAAGAAAAATACGGTTGTTGAGTGAAGCGGTTGTTTGCAACCCCACCACCCCACCAGCACCGCCACTGCCACTGCCACATCAGGATTGCTGCCACCAGTCGGAATAGGCTTCCTCATAGTTAGCTTCGTGTAGTGATTGACGTTGGTTGTCAACAGGATGGTGAAGATGGTGATACGGAGGCGTTAGGTAATTAGTCAAGAGCAGAGAAGAGGGATTTGGGGGGGAAGGGGAACTCATTATGGGAAAACGATTAGGGATGAAGGGAAGAATAAATACATTGTTAAGAGAAGTAAGGTCTATTACAAGCAGTGTTGGCATGTGTGGTGGAGTAGCAGTTTGACAAGATATTATAACGGGCCGAGATCGCCGTTTTCGAAATGGCAAATTAGTCCCGATTGAGAAGATGCGTATCAATCAACGCATCCATTCATTCTTTTTGATCAAGTTGCCTTGTGTGCCTAGGTGCGTGTACAGTGCAGCCGGCGTCATGATTACGACTACGAAGGTTATGATGATGATGCATAACAATAGAAACCTAGCACGCCCTCAACTCTAAAATGGGAATGAGAAAATCTATTGCTTGTGATGGATTGATGTTGGATTCTTTTTCTGTCTCTCTTCGTTCTGTCGCCTAACCGACCCAATTTTGCGAGGCATTACTATTGAACCACATGCGCATTAATTCAAAAACATGGTCGCGCTGCTTAGATGTAAAGCAGACAGCTTTATTAGTCCCACTGGTGGGTAAGTTACGAGCTGCCTCCTAAACCTAGCTTACGTGCTAAAATCCACAATATGTTATTAACCTTTCTACCAGATTGCTCTGTTGAATTAGACCTGTACCTAGACGATATCAGTCAATCGAAGTCAGTAATAGCGTATGATATAAGTCACTCAACTTGCACTGTGCATCACTTCAACGTCAGCTTCACAAAGCCAGAAACACGAGAATCGTCCTCCTAAAGAGCCGTGTCTGCCGTCCCCGACCACTCGTCCTCGTGCTCTCTCTCTGGGCAATGATGGGAGTGTCACGGACGACGTACAGATTGTTGACAGATGACGACGAAATCAATCCAGGCAGCTTGAGCAGGCCATTCTCGAATGCGTCTAGAAAGGTATTGTGCATGTCAATGGGAATCTGGGAATCGAGCCTACCTGACTGCTCACGTAGTGATTTTACATGTCTGTCTGAATTGATCCTCTTTGGATGTGAGTAATACTATGTATGTATGTACTCCGTACGTACCGTTCAAATGCTCTGGCAGACTGGCCCGAGGTGGCCAATAGCAGCCTCTCAATGCAGTGGGTTTGATTGGGTGGCCATGGCCAGGTGGTCTGAGTGCGGCAGCCCCACCGCTGCTGCCGCTGCTGCCGCTGCTTCCACCGCAACCGCCCCACGTTTGGCGTGACTGCAAAACATCAGTCACGCCAAAATGACACCTGCCACCCTTTGAAAACTGCCACTGCTGCAACATTCCTAATTCCGTATAGTGCCCAAGAATGGCAACCAGCTAGTAATAATTGAGTTTGATCACTCTCCACCATTGCCCTGTCTGTTTATCGACATGCTGATGCTCAGTGTGCGTGCGTGTGTACCGGCGCCGGGGACACTCTCAGGAAGACCGAGATGCCTGTGTCATGGCGACTGCCGCACCTGACTTCCTCTTGGGTTGGATGCTGCGCGGGGAAGGGACACGGCTGCGTCGTTGTTACCGTTGATGCTGAGACGAAGAAGATGACTGCGCGACAACGGGCATGAAGGCAGGAAGGAAGGAAGTCGCATTTTGGCCGGGCATTGGCCGTCTTCCAAGGCGTCCATGACTGCTCCTTCTTAGCGAGAAATAGGAAAGAGGGGGCCGTGATGGAAACAAGAAATTTGATGCCGAAGAGAAGAGGAAAGGGCTTCCGTACCTCCTTAGTAGATCTCTGGGCGGAGATGGCCAAGGTAGGTACGTACGTACCGTGACGCAGGGGTCCTTCCTGTCAACTCTCCTTTACAGCGCCTGCCTGCCTTTCCAGCATCTTTTCCCAGCCCGAATAGCCCTCTAAAAGACCTGATTATTTCTTCTTTTAGTGACGCAATGGTCCCAAGTCTGGTCTCGCTAATACGTACGTACCTGATTATCAATTACCGATTGTCAGCAGCCACTCAATCACGCGACAACACCAACCGACCTCAACACCAGCACGTCAAACGGCAACCAAGAAGAAGCCCATCATCCTGGCACACCAAACGCTGGCCATCCCAGGGCAGGTATCGCTCAACACAACAACCGCCGCTATGCCGAACCAATCCACCCCCAGCAAGGCGGATGCACCGCAGCTCGCAGCCAACGGCAAAAGCAACAAGACTTCTAAAGGCATTGGAGCTGGCAGCTGTATCGTTGTCGGCAAAGACAACATAAACGAAGCCAACAAGGGAAACGCCAATCGAGGGAAAGCCAAGCCTGTATACGTCTTTGACCCGCAGGTGACGCCCGCTCGCTTCAAGCTACCCACCATCCGCTGATGGCCACATGCCTGTCACCTTTCATTCTCATTATCTACACTTGCATGTTTTTTCTTTCTTTCTTTTCCGGTAGCAGGTAATAATCACTCCACAGAACTATCTCCATCTGTTATAGGGCATGCAGATCAATGCTAATAATCCCTCTTAGCTAGGAGCAAAGCCTACCCCCCCCTTCACTCTCCTAACACAACAACCTGATCACTTAACGCGTCAAAACGAAAGCGCATACATGGTCGCTGAGCTCCTGTAAGGATCGATGATGCCGAGGCAAGGAATAGGACGCTGGGGAAAGCAGAAAGATATAAAGCCCGTTTGGAGCCAACCAAGACAGCCGATAATAAAGCTTAATAATCAAGGCAGTATTATTTCCTATGACCAGTCCAGCCACATGTGACTATTATTATTCTATAATCGTCCGCCTGTTTTACACTTCATCACCGCTCCGTTAAACCAGCCTTGCAAAAAATTTGATGACATTACTAGCACCCCAGCCTCAACTCTGCCAGCCAGTAGTTCTAGGGCTTAACAGGGATATATTTATTTACTTATCTTACTGGCGTATAGCAAAGCACGGCTTGCTCGAACCAGGACCAGTATTCAACTTGGTCCCAGCGTCCAAGGAGTTACAAGACGGCAATGATAATGTAGACCCCTTCAATGAACTCGGTTATGCCGATCAACGTCTTTTCCCATCTTCGCGTTCGCCCGTCTGCTGCTCTCATGACGGCGATGAAATACCACTCGTGCCATTGCACAATGATGCCGGAGAGAAAGACGAGCCCCGCTACAGCTGCTGCCGATTGGTTGCGACTGGATAAGGCCGGTGGATCGGTCGCCGTGCTGCTGCTGCTGCTGTGACTTTGCGCCTGTTGAACGAGATCGTCAAGGGCGTCCCACTGGGCAACCAACCAGGCGGTGATCTAGGTCACTGCCTCAGCCCACCTGTCTCCAGAAATCCTAGTCTCAATGGAGAAGGCAATAGGTCGTGCAAAGAGCGCAGGATAGTTGGTCTGGTTGATAGGCTTGAAGGGCGACTGCAACGCGACTAGGGCGAGATGAAGGTTGTCGTTTTTGAAGAAGATATAAAAGTCGACTTTTTATTATAGTGCAACGCCTTACCACCCCTGCTGTAGTCTAAGTGAATCTACACGCCAGTTACGCACACACACCATTAAGACTATACTGATTTAGACAGAATGCCTTTACCTTAGCTAGGTCCTCAACAAGAGAGGCAAAGGTATGAAGCGATAGTGGAGGATTAACAAGACCCCTAAAGCTCATTGCTTCGATGGCGTTCTCCATGACCATCAACATTGTCTGCTTCTGTGGGCTTGATCGCCGCGACCTCTTGTTCCCGCTGCCATCCTTGGCGTAGGCCGAGCGGTAGGACGAGGCGGTATCCCCCTTTCCGACCAAGAGATACAGAACAGTAAGAGGAAGCTCACTAAGGTTAGAAATCTATCAAAATCCCTAATGTGGACAGCAGTTTTATCTACGCTGTCAATAACTCAAGAGACGCATCTGCTACGCATGCCACTCCCGATCAGGACAGGTCACGACGGCCTTCAATCAACGAACCCTTGCTCAACAGGAATAACAATATAGTGACCCAATCACCACAAGATGCGAGTTTCGTTAACCTAACAACCGTCGCGACGGCCAACACCATACCGACACCCCTACACACCATCACCCAGTTCTATTCAGCCACCGCCAGGAACTAAGCCGACGACGCGATCGATGTACACTGTTGCCTTTCGCTCACATGTTGTAACACAGAGCGCCATCACAGACGAGATTAACACCCGGCTCTGAGGGTTCATCCTCAACGTTATGATCAAGCCGGATACCCACCAGCCCAACGGCCTACTCGCAGTACAACGCCGTCTGCAGGCTCAATCACATTACATAAGCCAAGAGAGGCTTGCTCTCCCAAACTGCCGCGTCCCATATCCCACCGCCGGCTAGAAGCCAACACTATTATCGAAGCCCAAGGGCACCATACTCTTGCCCAGCAGTGGAGTATCGATATCTGGTTGCGCACCTCTGAGAAAGCTAGGGAGCTATCCCCGGCTTGGACCTCAACATACCAACAGCTTCGACGTATGGTGTCAATGCTCCGGACATTGAGCGAGACGGCAGAAAGCGTTTGCGAGCCATGGACGGCTCATTTAAGGCGAAGTCGGACGCTTGCAACAGCCACAGATTGCGCATTGCGCCCGATGGCGCGAACGGCAGGGCTCAGTATGGGCCTACAAAGCAGAAACTGGATCTTGGCCAAGAGCGCCGTCGCACCGAGACGCTGCGCGCAAATGTGGGGATTTGGGATTTTTGATCGCCCTCATCGAGAACGGGCAGCAGTGTTTGGACGAGAGGATACGTATGGCACAATCAGCTCCATGGTTTGCGATTTGCGACCAAGGCGGTCTTTCTTGAGGTCGCACAGGTACACAATAATGAAGTGGCAAAGAATATGAAAAAGTAAGACAGATGGATGCATTTAAATACTATTTGGTCTCGCCGAATGAAATCTTATGGTGTTGGATCTTGGGTTTGGTTGCAGATGCACGGAGAGCCATGATTTCCCAGACTGTGTAAGTCGAGTAAGTCAATGTGGGATAATGTCCGGACTCCATCTTTCACTAGTAATAATGTAACATAATACAGGGCGTAGTGGCTAGGAAAGCACTACTAAAAGTATAACAAAGACGAAGACTTAAACAACATACCTCTTATATGCTTGGCCAAGTGTTGCTTGCAAACTTCTAAACACATAATAAGCTATTTGATTATTAGAGTTTACCGCAGGCATCCAACGTTGATCTACCGTATCCACTCGTTAGATTCGTACACTGCACTGACCATGGGCTGCTGGATAGGGCCTAGCGGACTGGCAGAAACAGGGATCTAGAAGTGGCAAATGTAAGGGTTAGTCAACTTCAGCAGCAAGTTTGGTGGCAAGGGTTAGGGTTATATGGGTGGGTGTGTGGCTAGGCTGGCTGACCGCCTTTTGAATTAGGCCTAGTGGGTGGTCAGTGCAGTGTACGAATCTAACGAGTGGATACGGTAAGTAGGCAATACAATCAGTGGTTGCTGACTGGACCAATAAGGTTAGCAGAGTGTCTCAGGGAGCGGGGACGATTTAGCTGGCGATAGCCTAGTGAATCTTAGGGAATAGTTCCCCAAGATTCAGCTTCTGTTGAATATACGACCTATTGTTAACCACTATCATTAGCGTGCCACAATAGACTATTACATAGATATATAGTAGACAAAACAAGCTATTATATATAACAAGAGTTACTAAGTGATAATAGTCTGTATTTAACCCTTTCTTATTTATAGGTTTTTAGCTTGTATCAAGACTTTGCAAAAGGCTACAGACACACTTTATGTCAGCAAGGAGTCTTATTTAGACCGTTGGAATAATTATTTAAAGCAAAGAGAAACCTGAGTAAAAAGAAGCTTGGTAAAAAAAAGGACAGCTTCTCTGAAAATCGTAACCAGCCACGTCCACGTCCGCGTCTCTTCCTCGACCACCACGACCACCACCACGAACTTCTCCAGCAGACGATGTTGCTGCACTGCTGCTGCTGTTACTGCTTATGCTGCTGCTGCTGCTACTGCTGTTGGGGTCGGCGGCGTTGGCGGCGTTCCTCTCAGCAAAACGCTGTATCATCCTCTCCGTCAGCCGCCTAGTCTCGCGCACAATGGCGGCTCTCTGAGCCGGGGTGAATAAATTGGCGCCACGCTGGAGACGTGTGGCGGTGGAGTCGGCGGCGCCGTTGGAGACGGCGGCGATGGTTTCCTCGACAGACTGGTACGGCTGGGCGGGGCGGCGGCGTCGGGGCAGGGGAGCGAGGACTCTTTCTAAAGCGGCACCCTCAAGGCCCAGCTCGTCGGGCTCGTCGGCGGCGGGGTCTCTGACCACGGGGGGCATGCGGGGGCTGGCAAATGGATCGGAAGGGAGTTCGCCGTCGTCGTCACCATTGGCGGACTGCTGGTTACCAACCGGGAGTTCGTCACCGTCGTCGTCGTCGTCAGGGCCAGGGCCAGGGTCATTGTGACTCAGGTTTTCAGAGGGGCCGGGGATGACTGAAGTTGCCCGAGATCAAAGTCGAAGTTGGAGCCACCAAAGCCGATGCTCGACGCCGGGCGCGAACGGTCCCGAGAGACGCTCGGCCTCGCTGGGGTAGCCAGGCGGGACCCGAGCGGGAACAGGGGACCGGGCTCCTCGTCCTCATCCTCCTGGGCACGCTCCTCCTCATTCTGCTCAAGCACGGCGCGAACCTGTTGCAGGCGCCCCTCGAGCTGGTTCGCGAAAGAAAGCTGGCCTGGTGGCGGGGCTGGCGGAAGGATGAGATGGGGAGGGGGAGGGGCGGGAGCCGGCGGCGGGGCGATGTAGTCTTGACGAGCGGCCCGGATGACTTGGAGCGTTAGATATATATTCCCTTGCAGAGCAGAACGCAGAACGCAAAACGCCGGCGGGGTGGGCGACCGGTGGCGCCGTCCACAGCTGCGGGAGCCAGTCTCTTCCTCGCTCCTGGGCGACACCGCGCGAGAATGTCCACATGCCCTTCAAGAGGGACGCGGGGATGTCGCCGGGCGGCAGCATCAGAACACCACACTCTCACTCTCACTCTCACTCTCACTCTCACTCTCACTCTCACTCTCACTCTCACTCCATCTCTCACTCCATCTCTCACTCCATCTCTCACTCTCACTCCATCTCTCGATCTCGACCTCGCTTACTCCATCTCATCCTTCATCTTCTATTGTTATCTCTCGCATAACCTTGCTCTGACAAACCTTACAGAAAACAACAAAAAGTTGCAACCGCAGGCGCCACAACAAGCGCAACAGTAACAACAACAGTATAACGGCAAATGCGCCTCAACTCAAGTAAAGCAACGCCATCCACATCAATCACCCCCCCTTAAGTCAAGATGGCGTCTCTAGAACACACATCATCGCCTGAACGTGACGATACGGCAGGGTTCTGCTCTCTACCCGCAGAGATCTTACATGTCATCGCTACTTCCCTTGTTTGTCCCCGTGTTGCTCCTACCATTCAAGCCAATTCCGACCGAGAACACCGCGTCAACGACGACATCAATACCACACGTCCGTCAGCCGGTTTGCGTGACGTGGCTGCGTTGGCCGCCACTTCGCGCAAGTTGCATTTGCTCGCCAACTCGCTGCTCCATACTGCGGCGCTCGCGCTAGATCTTGTAGCCTCGCAGGCTCTGCCATACTAGCAGGCCATCATTGAGAACTGGCCATCATCGAGAACTGGCGCCCAGAACTAACTCAATTCAGGCCTGCTGTCAAACTGTTCAAGAATCCCTGGTACAGTGTCTCACCAGCCAAGTAAGATTGAATGGCATCTCCCCTCTACCACACACGCCCCATGCCTGCTGACATGGTTCTTCGCCCGTGCAGTCAACCTGTCTGCGAACGCGACCCGCTCCTCTTCTGGGCCGCCTCATCAGGGCGCCTAGACTTGTTGCAGCGCTTGCTGTCGCACGTTCCCGAATCACTGGTGCCCTTCGTCCTTGGCACTCGGCTGTTGGTAACATGGCGATGCTCTTCTGGCAAACACGCGTTCCGGTACCCGGACGGGAATGGCGGTGGTGTTGGTACCGCGTCAGAGCCGTGCTTCGAAACGCTGCTTCATTCGGCAGCCCGCGCTGGTCAGGATGACGTTGTTGGATGGATCCTTAACCAAGCCAAAAGCCCGGCGCACTGGGGTGATTCCTTGTTGAATTTCGACGTAGACGCGGAGGCCCAGCTCGTCTGCCATTGCCCATCGCTACACATGGACATTTGCGACCGAGACGCTTCGGTTGAGGTCTGCGCGACGCCTCTCCATCTCGCACTCATCCACAGCCACCACTTAACGGCCAAGATACTGATGCGCCACGGCGACGTTTGAGACTGATGCTTTCCGTTTTTGGGTGTCACGGGCTTGCAAATTATGGCGGCCACTGGCGCAACAGACCTGATGGAATGGGTCGCCAGGCGGCCTTGCCAGGTCCTAGCCCAGAACGCACCGATGCACGATTGGCCCGACGAGGATGACTTCTTGAGCTTACACTATGCATGCCTGGCGCTAAACTGCAGTGGTGATGGCGGCGGCGGCGGCGGCGACGACGGGGATCTAGCCAATGGCGGAGACGAGGATCAAGTCGTGGTTCGACACCAAGATGCGCAGACGGCTCGTCTTGTCTCGTGTCTGCTCGGTATGGGGGCTGTCCTGGAAACGCAGAACCGACAAGAGGCGGTTTCGTCTCTTTTTGGCACGCCACTGTATTTTGCTTTCTTATGACCATCAGAGCCTCTTCACAAGAACCCAGACTTTCTTACCACCATCGATAATACCGGAGTAGGGGGACTTGACACAGCGAGACCAAGTGGCGATTAGGAATCTAATGGACGAGTTGCTTGACAAGCAAAAGAGAACGACCAGCTAGGCAGCCAAAGACCAAGCGAGTTTCCAACACGACAAAGATGAGAGATGAGAATGCGGATGGGCCACGTTACATGATGTCGGCCAGCCGTACCATGATCATCAACCAACCTCCCTCAACTGACCCTACTACAGTGCGCACTCTAATTCCCAATCTTGATCCTGTGCGAACCGACAGCCGATGCATGGTGGATTGAGTCTTGGCATCTGCCGTTTCGCTTCCATCACAGCTCATCTGCCGATTATTTTTACTCTAATGCGGCGCACAAGACGATGATGGAGCTTGTCGCTCGAACACTGGCAAGAAGTCCGGCATCTCCCATCCGATTGAATGACCTGTGAAACCAACAGTATCCGTTCCCGCGTCAAGCGTTGACAATGTCACTCGCTATCTTCGTTCCATGTCTGCAAATGGACAACACAACAGCACCCAACATCCCTCACATCGGCTGGTCACGCAACACCGTAGGCAAGCCAGAGTCTCGGTACCAGGAGGAGTTGTCGTCTCAGCCATGGCGGAAACTCATGTCAGGGGGGGCTCAAACTATCTGCGGGACACGCTCTCTCTGGACTTTCCGCGACAGCTCGCTCAGTGGTGGGCGGCGGGTTCTGCATCCGTCATCTTCATTTCCTCTAAGACAGACATTGTCCTGGTGGCCGAGGCTGCCTGCGGAACATGGGCATTAGAGTTTCCGCAACGACTCACCTCGCTTGAGATGGACAAGACATTTTCCAACGTCATTATTTTCCTATTCCGACTAAACAGGTGCTTCCTGCCTGCTGGCGAATTAGCAAGCCGAAGCGAAAGTCGTCGCGGGCAGAAGATCAGGTGTGTTGACCTTCCTAGTTAGTTTGTACTTGTAGATTGCTGACTACAAGTGTAGCCAAGATTGGTTGATGTTTGCGTTGCTGACCTGCATCCGAATGCCTGTTCCAGCCTTCAAACATCGGGGAAAGTGGCGAAGTTTTCGTCATGTTTGTGGACATTAGCGATGGCCACCAATCTTCATCTCGGCATGCACAACTCTTATGTCATTAGAGACTTCTGGCACCCTCCCAGGTTTGCTGGTTGTCCTCCAGCAGGCCATGAAGACGACGGGTATAGTGGCACATTGGGCAGCACTGTCTCCTGCAAACTGCTAGCATTGTCTTGCTGGGACGATGGCAAGTCTTGATGATCCTTGATGGGATAATGAGAGGTGAGAGGTCAAAGACAGGAGTCGAGAGGAACATGCCAATGCACCTTAATATCCAAATAGGCCCGTCCAGCCCGTCCTCTTCAAAACCCTTATTGAACCCATTGATCATACCAATGAATCATCCATCCATCCCTCGTCGGTCCGCAACTTGGATGCATGTCGCAGCCATCATCTCTCTCTCTCCGGATCTTGCATACCACCTCCCCCATTGTGAGTAAGGTTGTATTGCTGCTGGCGCTACTATTGTCAATTGTCGTTATCGTTATTTAGTAGAGGTAAAATAAAATAAAATAAAAATAGGGAGAGAGAGAGAGAGAAAGGATATTAAATATAGAAAATAATTCTATATTAACCCTCTGGCCTACTTTACTATATCTTATCTTAGTTCTCTTTTCTCCTCTCTTAACTCTTTATTTTTCTATCTCTAAGTATCCTTTAGCGTTTATTAAAAATCTTTATCTCCCTTTAGTATACTTTTCTTATTACTAAATATAGTAAAAAAAAGTATAATTTAATAGGCTACCTTTTTACTATATTTACTTTTTTGCCTATATTAATATTTCTTATCTTTACTAGAACTATATTACTTATCTCCTTTAATTATTCTATATAATACCTTTAATATATTAAGAGATTCTATTATAAAGTTAATAATATAGAAACTATTATCCTTAGCTACTAGTTGTATTACTAAGACATCTTTAAGCCCTAAACCCTATATCCTAGACAATAGGCCTCTAGAGCTCTAGACTTTGCGTTATATCCTGCGCTATATCTTTAAATGCTTTTGCTAAATCCTCTTTTAAACTATTGGCTACCCTTATAAAGGTATAGCCTTCTATGTCTAGAAAAGCTACTCCTCTATTGCTAAAAGCCTAGGGACATAACCCTAGGTGCCCTGTTTTTTGTTAAGTACTTACGTGACCAGCTCTATAATGTTATGGTCCACACTTGACTTAGACAAGACAAATGTAACTAAATTGAACGCCACAGTGATTCATCTACAGGTCCACCCAGGCAGAATTTATCCTCAGCCTTAGAACTAAAGTAGACAAACAACAAGCTCTAGGCAAGCACATACAGAAGGCCCTAGTTCAAACCAAAGTGCAACTCCTATACCACTATCAGTCTCAATGTTCAACTATAGGGCAAGGACAACATAGACAAGGCCTCAAGGTTACACTTAAAGACTCTATCTTAGACAAGGCCAATACACTTTACATAAAGACGCTTATAGCAGTTCAAGTCACAACAGGATTAGGAACTATTAAGGGCAGCCCTACCATGTTCAGAGGCTACTAACTTAACAGTACAGATGTCACAATAGCAGTAACAATTAAGTTTTACAAGTGCAAAGTTACCACAAAGCTGACTATTGCATCATAGGATGCATTAACAATAACCTTAAGGCAGTGCAGTGACTTGTCTAAAATTAACCTAAGACCAGAGCTTAATGACCTCAAGAACAAGGACAATCTCTTAGCATACAACCAGTCCACTCCTTAACGGCGCCGCCAGAGCTAGCAGCGCAGCTAACAAGCTTACGCAATCCTTGCTGCTGTATTAGATCTCTACCACTCTTAATAGTTTAGAAGATGCGTCTAAACTAAACAGTGCCCTACTGTGTACTCTAGCTCATAACATCATAAACTATAATTTCTTTGTTTTAGGCCCATTAGCAAGTACATAGATGCTTATATTTAACCTTTTAGTTATTACAAAGGAAGAGAGAAGACAAGAAGTGTCAGAACAAAAGGGCCTACGTTTTTCCTTAGCAAGAGATTTCTAGCGCAGTCTTCCTATCTATCTTTACTAGGCAGTATTAAGAATAGATAAAGTATATATAATATAGACATACGTCTACTGCTTTAGATTAGATATAAGCAAGAGCAAAGGTAATAACTATAACAGTAGAAAAGACAACAGTAATAATATTATAGAACAAACTAAGTAGTAATAAGGCTATATAGTAAAAAAAGACACAGAGATTCTTAAGGAAGAGGATAAAGAAAAGAGAGAAGTTTTACTATTATACTTAATTTATTGTTTTAGGGAATAATATTATTCTTCTTACTTAGCTATTAATCTAAGTAGCGTTAATAGTGTTACGCCTTTAGCTAATTTACTTAGTATAATAAGAGGTAAAGTAGAAAAGCTAAGTAATATAAGTTATATTAACTAAGTTATAATAAGTAACTAGATATATTATACTTTAGCCTTTAACCCTTGTCCCCTAAGTCTTATATAGAATTATCTCTTAGGTAATAAGTAAACTTTAGTAGTGTCTAGCCTAGTAAGTAGCTACTACTATATAGTAAAAAAAAAAAAAAACAGAATAAGTATCTTAATTATACTAAACTATAAAGCTAAAGCTATTATTTTATAGTATCTATATATACTATATTTACTATTTTAATTATAAGATAAAGGTATTTATTATTATACCTTATTACTATTCTTTTTCTTTATACTATCTTCTTATGCTTATTATTCCTTGTGTCCTTATCTAATAGGTCTACGTCCTAGGAACACTTTAGACTTAAGGGGACTACTGCCTACGTTAGTTATTTTAGAAACAATAAGTATAGTTAAAAAAGAATATTAATTAAGTAAATAACAAGATAGTAGACAGTATAAAGGCACTTATATAGGCTTATAAGTCTATTAAGAAAGACAAAAGGTACATTAGTAGTATATAAGATAAGGTATAACTTAACCTTAGTATTACTTATAATAATATAAACCTATATAGCTAGAGTTAAGGTAAGTTTATAAGTAATAGATAAGCGTAATAGTAGAGGTAATAGATATACCTAGAAGCTTTAGGTTATAAAAAGTAAACAAGCTTAAGTATATTAGTACTACTAGGATTAGGTAAAGGTAATAAGTATAGCTAAGATATAGGGATCCTATAGTAAGTTAAAGAAGGTAATTTATATAAGCCTTTTATTAGAATACTAATACTAATAATTATATAACACCTAGATAGTTAACTATAAATAGTTATAACTTAAGGTTAAAGGGCATAGACTAGTTATTTAGCCCTTAGTTATATTAAGAGGGGATTATACTTTTAGTTAGCTAAAATAACTTAAGTTATACTTAAGTAGTATATAACTACTTATATAATAATAGTAAAGTAAACCTATTTAGTTACCTAATAATAAGTTAATTTATCTTTATATTTTATAAAGTATATATATATATAAAGCCTATTTAATACTAATTAGTAGTTATATAGTAATTATAGATTAGTAAAAGTAAAGAGTTAAGCTATATTATATAAAGAGTTAGTTTATATAGTGTTTAACTATAGAAGGGCTAAAGAACTACTCTTTATTATAACTACTTATACTAAGATAAGTTATAATTTATATAAAGACCTAGTTTATATAGTACTTAACTATAGGAGGGCTAAAGAACTACTCTTTAGGATAACTACTTATACTATTTTCCTTTATATATAATAGAATAAAGAAGACTATAACCTTTTATATATATATAAGAAGTAAGTAGTATACTACTATAAGTATATTATTTATTAATAAGATATTATATAATTTAAAGTAACTACTAATATATTAATATAGAATACCTAGAGCTAGGATAAAGAACTTACTTAAGAAGAATATATCTTTATATATAAAGATATATTAAAGAGCAGTAGTATTATAATTATAATATAGAGATCTTAAATACTACCTTAGTACTAGACTAAATATTAGGACCTTATTAATAACTTATCCTAGAAAAAGATTATAATATACTTAGTGTACAAGATATACTAGATTATTTATATAAATCTAGACTAATACTAACTTAAGGTATAATTATAATTAACTTTAAGGACTAGATAGCTAACTACTAGAAGTATATATATTATATATACTTTAGGAAGTTTATTAGGTAAATTATAAAAAAAGGTATCTTTATTAATACTAAGATAAACTTAAGAATAAATAAGTAATTAACCTTATATAATAACTATAAAGTAATATTAAAAGAAGTCTAGTAGTTATATAATAAATATACTAATAGCTAGTATTAAAGATCTCTAAGCTACTATATAATAGAACCTAGCTAAGACACTAATAAAGTTAATTAAACTCTAGGATTACTAGTAGCTTAAAGAACTAGAAAGCCTATTATATAAATAACCTTATATAGAGTATAATTACCTAAGAAGTAAAGAGTTTCCTAAGATCCTAAAGCTAAACTATACTTATACTATAGAAAGATATCTATAACTTTTTACTAAGGTAAATAATTAATAATAGACTATATAAGCCTTATATAATCTCTGTCTTCTAAAAAGGCTAAAAAAAAGAAAAACTATACTAGAAAGCTATATAATATACTTTATAATAAGGCTAAAGTGTTTATTAGTTTCTATTAATATCTTAATTATAGAAGGCTAATATTATACTGTTTTTCTAGATATCTTATCTAATTATATAGAGAAGTTTTACCTTTATTATATTAGACTTATATAAAGGTAAAATAAGATATATACTATACTAGATATACACTTTAACACTAGTATTAACTATAGTCTTTATTAGACTAATTAGACTACTATATCCTTTATATAAGTTAAATAAAAGAATCTAGATAAAACACCTATAGAAATACTAGAAGTATTACTAGATAAGTTACCTCTTATATAATAAGCACTTAGTTTAGGTTTTAAGAGAAAATAATACTTTATATATAAGTTACCTAGGCTTACTAAGGTGTTCTAGAGCTAGAGACTACTCTTAGTAATCTTAAAGTATATTATTTATATAAAGAGTTCTTTTTTAACCTTAAGGCTTCTTTATAAGTTACTTTAGATAAAAAGACTATATTATATAATATTAACTTTATAGACTAAAGGTATACTTTAAACTATAAGGATAAATTATAATAAAGGTATTTATATAATTAACTACTTTATTAACTTTTTAATAAAAAAAAAGATAGACTATTTTAACTAAGACCTTTTTATATAGATATACCTAAGAAGTGTTTTATATACAAGAAGAAAAAATATTAGTTAACTAACTATATAGAGAAAGAATATAACTAGGTA